CCCCACACCCCACACGCTGGGAGCCCTCAACTTACTGCAACCATGGAGCTGGAGCCCGGGCAGCTGAGAGTGTGTCGGGGGGCCCGAACCCATCGGTCCAGCCGGCCACAAAGTGGTTCAGGTTCTGCAACAGGACAGCCCAGACGTCTGCCCAAGGAGCAGGGTGCCGACGGGAGAGGGAGCGTACCGGCAGCCCTCTCCAGGGCCTGCCGTGCAGGGCAACACGGCGGCCTCACCGTCAGGATGCTGTGGCTATACTGGTTCCCCCGATCCCAGCAGCCCAGGATCACGTCCCTCTCCCAGAAATGGGCCCCGATGCACGCCTCCGTGGCCAGGATGAAATAGTCAGGGAAGAGCTCGTGAGTTGGCACCACCGTGTCCTGTATGGGACCAATGAAATCCAGATACCAGTGGATCCCAATGCCGTGGACGTAGCGAGCTGCCTTTTCATCCTCCAGGACCTGGCAGGGAGAAAAGCCGGCCATCACCGGGTATCACAGGGCAGAGAGCCAGCGCCCCAGCACTCGTGCTGCAGGATGGAGTGGACGAGCCCTCCACGGAGACGTGCTGCACCAGTGGGACTGGGGCTCTGCCCTGGCTCGCCGTGCTGGCGGATCCCATGCCGCACTCACCACTTTGGCCCAATGCGGGAGGTGGAGCCGGTTGTCGTCCAGGATGATGAGCTGGATGTGGCGGTGGGAGCTGTTGGCCAGCGCGGGGCCCAGGTCCCACGCGATGAAGTCCCGCTGCTGCTCGGCTGTGAAGCCCAGGCACTGGAAGGGGTAGTTGTTGATCAGCCCAGCCGAGGGCTCGTTCTCTGCCGTCACCGCCCAGAAGGTCAGGTTGTACTTGGCGTATTCATCCAGGAACCTGGGCGCAGGGGAGAAGGGTGAGCCATGGGGTCTCTCCAGCACCACCACTGAGGATCCCCTGAGTATCTCCCCTGTCCCCTCGCTCCAGGTGCTCCTTACCGTACAAAGTAGTTGGCCCAGGTCTTGTGGTACTTGTCCCCTGCCTGCCCCTTCAGCGTGCCCTTCCCCACGAAGGACTCGCTGGTCTTCATCCAGGTCGGGGAGGTCCAGGGGCTTGCATACAGCGACAGCGGCTGCTTGCTCATGGCCAAGGCTCGGTGCAGGAGGGGAATCTGCAGGAGCAGGCAGAGGGACCACCTGAGCTGAGGCCCTGCTCCCTCCCACCGCTCATAGAATCATAGAATCATTGAGGTTGGAAAAGACCTCTAAGATCATCGAGTCCAACCGTCAACCCAACACCCCCATGCCCACTAAACCATGTCCTTAAGTGCCTCATCTACTCGTCTTTTAAATACTTCCAGGGATGGTGACTCAACCACTTCCCTGGGCAGCCTCTTCCAATGTTTCACCACTCGCCTTCAGCTTCGTGTCTTCATCTCGCAGGCTGAAGTGGGTGAGCTCGTAGTCGAAGGGAACGTCATCGTAGGTGTAGGCATGAAGGGAGAAGTCGCAGCTGGCCATAGGGAGCCGGACAAGGTTGTACTCCAGCCCTACCAGGCACAGTGGGGTGGGATGGGCAGAGGTGGGCAGTGGGACAGGAGGTCTCCAAGCCCTGCCGGTGCCCAGGCAGAGGCCCACAGGGTCCCTGTCACCATCCCTCCCGCCTCCCCCGATGTTCTCACCTTCCTCAGAGAAGTACGAGCGCAGCAGGTGATCCTGGGCTGTTTCTGGCAGGGAAAGGATGTTCATGGCAG